GCTGTATGAAAAAAAAAAATTCATACAATGTCTTATTCAATGTTCCACATTAGAGGTTTCTCATATAAAAATTCTATTTGTTAATCTCTGTACATTCAGCAGTATACAACATATACCTTCATGCATTTGATTTTCTTTCATGTGATTAGGGATGTCTTTTTTATCTCTGTGTAAAACATCTGTTCCAAATAACAATTTTCAAATGTGAGTCGAATGATCAGAAATACTTGTAGCGGATATGCATAGTATATAAAAGAAATCACCTTGTTTGTTCCATTTGTTTGAAAGTCCCTGTGACTTCGGTGCAATGTTTGTTTTGCTAAGATCATTCAGTAGTTTCGTAAAAACAGAAGTTAAAGGGATAACTTTTGATTGGGAAGCAAGACGTCTTTGCTTAGATTCAGAATGTGAACTTTTACGATGATCCTCAGAATCATGGGGGGTTGAGTGTTTTCTTTTCATTCTCTGCATATGAAGAGTACGTGTATAAAAATGTCTGTGTAAAAGGTTTGTATAAAAAAACGACACTAATGAAGTAAAATCTACCATTGAGCAATGGTTTTCTCACCAGATCAATATTTTGTGATAGGATTCTTGTTCAATGACTGCTAAATCTCGAAATGTTTTAGTGATAAGCAAAGGCGGGATGATTTAGCAAACGGTTTCAAACCATTTAATTAGTTATGATTCTCTATATAGATCACAATAATATCAGGTAGTTTAGACACAATCTAACAGTTATTTTTGTTATTAGGACTTGCTTTATGAAAATGGTTTTATCTTATATATTATAATAAATCCCTTAAAAAGTACTTACGAAAAGGTTATGATATTTTGTATATTTTCAGGATTGTTCAAGACATTCAGAGCAGAGCAATATACGTTCATAGAGGAGCTATATTATACTTCTACAGCGGGTTCGAAGTAAGTATTTTTTGTCTATAAATCCGTGCTCTTATATAATCTAATACATTATAATAGCCCGGGTATATATATACTGTTTCTCTCAAATTATAATAAGAACTCTTCTATAGGCCACATATCAGTTATTTATTTTAGGAAGATCAGTGTTTAGGAAGATTTAGTTATGATTTTCAGGTTTGTTCAAGACATTCATGAAGAGCTATAACCTCACTACACCATATATAAAGTAAGCTATTCGGTTTATAATTCCATGTGTGTAATTAGATATTAGTTAAGTAATATCTAATTACTAATTGCAGATCACAATGAAAAAAAAAATAGTATCAATATCATAAACTTGCAAAAAAACCACTAAAATACGCAAAATTGCAAATAATTCAAAGTCTAAAATACTGAAGCAAAAAACGAAACAGAAAGCAAAAAAAAAACATTAAGAGATAACTCTGAAAGATAAACACAGCCTTTAATTACTCCCCATCATTCCTTTCCAGCTTGATGTTCTTAAAGCGTTGTTTCTTTGAAGTAGAAGTAAGGTCATCGATTTGACTCTCCATTGAACTTCCTGAACGTTTGGAGTCTGGAGTTGAAGATGCACCTCTCGTCTCTTCGCTTTCAATGCTCAACAAAGAAACCTTAGAATATTAGAAAAACAATTATTACACCCATAGCCAGTTAGATATGGTGATGTCAATGACCATGTTATTTGGAACATAATTTACAAACCTGTTCAGAAGAATGATCAGATACCAGTGTACTGTCACCTTCAGACAGAGATATTATTTCATTAGCAGACCAAGTCCCACCGATGGTAAATGTATCAGCACCATAGTCAACATTGTCTTTACCAACATACACACCAAACTTAAAAGTTTTTCCAATAAGAGCATTAATAGCATCAGGCAAGTCTTCAGGGTCATCAACCTAAATATCATAAATATAGAACTCTAGATTGATAAACGGTTTAAGACTTAACACGATTAGCAATTAAAATTTAGAATTAAAACGGTTTAACACTTAACACGGTAAATAAAACTTTAGAGTTAAGGCTTTTATATACCTCTTCCAGAGAACCATCTAGGAGAACTTCAGCACTTACTCCAACAATTGTCTCAGCAACTGTATCAAGCAACTTGACCTTAGTTTCACCAGTTTTATCCCTTATAAGTAGATGTAATTTGAACCTAATAAAAAATTTAAAAAGTTAGGAAACTCAATAGTCGGGTCTGCTAAAATTTATGATCGTTGATATATATAAGATACCTAGGTGCAACTTTGGTCACAAACTCTTTGCATGAATCACAACGCCAGACATGTTTCACAGGTACCACATTCTTCTTTGTTATGTTGGTCACCTTTTTGTAGTTGCACTTGACACAACCAAAATAATACCATGCCCAATCTGTGTCTATTGCATAAACGGTTGCCTTAACAATACATTTCTCATACTACAAAAAAAAAAAAATTGTTAGTAACCTTGTAGAGCACTACAAATGCTTAGTTGATAATACAAAACTAACCTCCATGGATAGTAGGATATCCAGTATAGATCTATCTGGGTAAATAGACCACTTCTCAGATTGGCGTTTTATTACTTTAGGTTTTTCAATCTCACCACTACCACTTGGGATTGCAAGCTCATTATTTGGGACCCTAAATATAAATAGAGTGATTAATAATTTTTAAAAAGTTTAAACTATGGAAAACAGATAACATCATACAGTTCTGGATAATCTTGCACATCAAATCCAGTTGGATTGATGACCATTTTTTATGATCTATTTTAACTACTCACCGTGTATTGTCACCACTACCACTTGGGATTGCAAGCTCATTATTTGGCACCCTAAATATAAATAGAGTGATTAATAATTTTTAAAAAGTTTAAACTATGGAACACATATAACATCATACAGTTCTGGATAATCTTGCACATCAAATCCAGTTGGATTGATGACCATACTGGAAATATCAAATGCATTAGTTATCCGCGCTTGTCCTACAATATATGTATAATAATATTTGTTAGATAATCAAAAATTACAATCTACAAACCTAAATCGTTAGTTATAAACTTACCCTGGTAGACATTGATTTTAGCAAATCTTAATAAACAGAGAATGTTGTTCTCTTCACCATCTTTGTAAGCATCCATCATTTTTTGAGCAAAATGACCCCAAAGACAACATCCGATGTGTTGGCCACTGACAATACACGGTGAGTAGTTAAAATAGATCATAATAATAGGTATAGTAAGATGTCAAAAAGTATTAAGAAGTTTTTCAACTTACTCTGTATCGATTAAGGTAAGTTCCAGCCTTTTGTTTTCTTTCCCACCTACTTGTACAGCTTGAACATCACCAATATCAATGGCACGACCAATAACATCTTAAAAAAAGTAAAACAAAAAAATTAATTAATATAAATCTTAAGTGATTAATATATGAGGAAAACGCTAAGTGTACTTACCAACTAAAAAATTTGAATCAAGACTTCCACTCATGATTGGTTGTAAAGGAGTTAACGTCAAGAAATCATCATCGATTTTCAGATCGGAGTTGGTTACATTGGTACTGCCTGTGATGGACATCTTGTACTTGTGGCTTGTTGCTCTGTACATTCCGGTAGCTGGCGTAACTGAGAAGTTCTCAATAAACTTCCATTGACCAACCTGGAGTTTCTTCACTCGAGAAAAGAAGTTCCTCTTGCAGGTACAATGTATCTTCATTCCCTACATTAAGATTAATCAAATTTGGCTTAGACATCTGACAATACATTTATTGGCATAACAAAAAGGTGTAAATATCAGTACACTTACAGTTTTATCTGCAAGAATGAAATCCAAAGAGTTTCCTCCAGAATAAGATGAGTGTTGAGTCCATGAGTGAAGAACTTTGATTTCAACTTTCCAAGTATCTTTGAATGGCTTGACATCATTCAACTGTCGGACTGCGTTTGCTGTGACGATAGCCATTAGTATTTTACTTAATGATTTCGAGGTGAAGTAAGTATTAGAAAGTTGATGCATATTTATAGTGATTAGATAGTAATGTGTAGGTATAAGTAGGTATATTCTAGGCATATTCTGATTTCAGTTAAACGTAGTTAAGATATGAGATATATATTTCAGTTAAACGTAGTTAAGATATGAGATAAAAATATAGTTGTGTAGGTTATCTACACTGAGCTCGAAATAAAAGGAAATTTGTTTGAGATTTTTTATAATATTTTTATTCAAGATACTTATATTGCCATTGATCAATATTCATCTATTTAAAAAAAAAAAAGATTTTGGTAAACTTCAAAATAATCTGCCGTGCTAAGCAATACACATAGTTTTATTATTTATTATAATAGAACACTTTAAAAGTACTTACTAAAAGGCTATGATATTTTGCATATTTTCAGGATTGTTCAAGACATTCAGAGCAGAGCTATATACGTTCATAGAGGAGCTATATTTACTTCTACAGCGGGTTCGAAGTAAGTATTTTTTGTCTATAAATCCGTGCTCTTATATATCTAATACATTATAATAGCCCGAGTAAATATATATTGTTGCCCTCAAATTATAATAAGAACTCTTCTATAGGCCACATAATAGTGCTTAGGAAGATCTACTTATGCTTTTCAGGTTCTATATGATATAATGCAACGTTTATACCAGATTTTTATTTTAATATCTGGTATACACCCTAAAGAAAGCTATCACACGTAACAAATATATACGCCATTCCAAAAATCGTGTATGCTTATGTTCATATGATTGCTATAACCTCACTACACCATATTTAAAGTAAGCTATTCGGTTTACAATTCCATGCGTGTAAGTGAATTAGTTAAGTAATATCTAATTACTAATCGTAGATCACAATGAAAAAAAAAAACAAATAGTATCAATATCATAAACTTGAAGAAAAAATAAATAAAACTCAACTTTATTGAAACTCAAATTATTGAAAAAACCAAACAAATACGAAAACTTGCAAATAAATGTCTAAAATACTGAAGCAAAAAACAAAACAGAATGCAAAAAAAAACATTAAGAGATAACTCAAAAAGATAAACGCAGCCTTTAACTACTCCCCATCATTCTTTTCCAGCTTGATGTTCTTAAAGCGTTGTTTCTTTGAAGCAGAAGTAAGGTCATCTATTTGACTCTCCATTGAACTTCCTGAACGTTTGGAGACTGGAGTTAAAGATGCACCTTTCGTGTCTTCGCTTTCAATGCTCAACAAAGAAACCTTAGAATATTAAAAAACAATTATTAAACCCATAGCCAGTTAGATATCGTGATGTCAATGTTGATTTTTGGAACATAATTTACAAACCTGTTCAGAAGAATTATCAGATACCAGTGTGTTGGCACCTTCAGACAGAGATATTATTTCATTAGCAGACCAAGTTCCACCGATGGTAAATATATCAGCACCATAGTCAACATTGTCTTTACCAACATACACCCCAAACTTAAAAGTTTTTCCAATAAGAGCATTAATAGCATCAGGCAAGTCTTCAGGGTCCTCAACCTAAATATCATAAATATAGAACTCTAGATTGATAAACGGTTTAACACTTAACACGGTAAATACAACTTTCGAATTAAAACGGTTTAACACTTAACATGGTAAATAAAACTTTAGAATTAAGGCTTTTATATACCTCTTCAAGAGAACCATCCAGGAGAACTTCAGCACTTACTCCAACAATTGGCTCAGCAACTGTATCAAGCAACTTGACCTTAGTTTCACCAGTTTCATCCCTTATAAGTAGATGTAATTTGAACCTAATCAAAAATATAAAAGTTAGGAAACTCAATAGTCGGGTTTGCTAAAATTTATGATCGTTGATATAATAAACATACCTAGGTGCAACTTTGGTCACAGACTGTTGGCATGAATCACAACGCCAGACATGTTTCACAGGCACCACATCCTTCTTTGTTATGTTGGTCACCTTTTTGTAGTTGCACTTGACACAACCAAAATAAAACCATGCCCAATCTGTGTCTATTGCATAAACGGTTGCCTTAACAATACATTTCTCAATCTACAAATTAAAAAAATGGTTAGTAACCTTGTAGAGCACTACAAATGCTTAGTTGATAATACAAAACTAACCTCAGTGGATTGTAAGATATCCAGTATAGATCTATCTGGGTAAATAGACCAATTCTCAGATTGGCGTTTGATTACTTTAGGTTTTTCAATCTCATCACTACCACTTGAGATTGCAAGCTCATTATTTGGGACCCTAAATATAAATAGAGTGATTAATAATTTTTAAAAAGTTTAAACTATGGAAAACTTATAAGAACATACAATTCTGGATAATCTTGCACATCAAATCCGGTTGGATTGATGACCATACTGGAAATATCAAATGCATTAGTTATCTGCGCTTGTCCTACAATATATGTATAATAATATTTGTTAGATAATAAAAAATCAAAAATTACAATTTACAAACCTAAATCGCTAGTTATAAACTTACCCTTGTAGACATTGATTTTAGCAAATCTCAATAAACAGAGAATGTTGTTCTCTTCACCATCTTTGTAAGCAGCCATCAATTTTTGAGCAAAATGACCCCAAAGACAACATCGGATGTGTTGGCCACTGAAAATACACGGTGAGTAGTTAAAATAGATCATAAAAAATAGGTATAGTAAGATGTCAAAAAGTATTAAGAAGTTTTTCAACTTACTCTGAATCGATTAAGGTAAGTTCCAGCCTTTTGTTTTCTTTCCCACCTACTTGTACAGCTTGAACATCACCAATATCAATGGCACGACCAATAACATCTTAAAAAAATAAAACAAAAAAATTAATTAATATAAATTTTAAGTGATTAATATATGAGGATAACGCTAAGTGTACTTACCAACTAAAAAATTTGAATCAAGACTTCCATTCATGATTGGTTGTAAAGGAGTTAACGTCAAGAAATCATCATCGATTTTCAGATCGGAGTTGGTTACATTGGTACTGCCTGTGATGGACATCTTGTACTTGTGGCTTGTTGCTCTGTACTTTCCGGTAGCTGGCGTAACTGAGAAGTTCTCAATACACTTCCATTGACCAACCTGGAGTTTCTTCACTCGAGAAAAGAAGTTCCTCTTGCAGGTACAATGTATCTTCATTCCCTACATTAAGATTAATCAAATTTGGCTTAGACATCTGACAATACATTTATTGGCATAACAAAAAGGTGTAAATATCAGTACACTTACAGTTTTATCTGCAAGAATGAAATCCAAAGAGTTTCCTCCAGAATAAGATGAGTGTTGAGTCCATGAGTGAAGAACTTTGATTTCAACTTTCCAAGTATCTTTGAATGGCTTGACATCGTTCAACTGTCGGACTGCGTTTGCTGTGACGATAGCCATTAGTATTTTACTTAATGATTTCGAGGTGAAGAAATATTAGAAACTTGATACATATTTATAGTGATTAGATTGTAATGTGTAGGTATAAGTAGGTATATTCTAGGCATATTCTGATTTCAGTTAAACGTAGTTAAGATATGAGATATATATTTCAGTTAAACGTAGTTAAGATATGAGATAAGAATATAGTTGTGTAGGTTATCTACAGTGAACTCGAAATAAAAGGAAATTTGTTTGAGATTTTTGATAATATTTTTATTCAAGATACTTATGCGGGATTTGATCAAATCCATTATTATTATGAATTGAATATTGAATAATAGATATGGAATTTGCATATTGTTGGGAATGTGGTAGATATCTAGGTCGAAATATAAGGAGATTTTCTGATCATTCGAATCACATTTTAAAATATGCTCACCATATGTCACCATTATTTTGTTGTTTGAATAAAAAATTCATGTTCTTGCTTAACTGTGATGCTGTGATATGATGTAGGTGAAAAATAATTATATGAAGGTAAATTTTGTGATATAAACATAATGAGGAAGCAATCATATGAACATAACTTTCTTTAGGGTGTATACCAGATATTACTTTCTATTTAACCAATCGATGAAAAGCTCTTATAAACGTTTCATTATATCAAATAGAACTATATATACCAATCCATATAGTTCGACATGAAAAGCTCTTAAATATACCAATCCATGAAAAGCTATCACACGTAACTAATACATATAGTTCAATCATGTGGAAGAGCTTCATGTTTCCAAAATACTTCATGTTTCTTCTAAAAATCATACGTATATTTCTTTTGTGATGTATTTCTTGTTCAATTTGTTTTGTTCTCTTAGGTTAAGTTTAATCTAACAATTTTTAAACATAATTTTGATTGATAACTTAAGCACGTTGGTTTTGATTTGGAGATATGGTATGTTGTAGAAACTAATCGTAGGGGAAATAATTTAAATATGATATTGGTTAAGTTTAAACAATCTACATTAGTTAATATATTTGGTTAGATTTAAGTAGGTATATTCTAGGAACATTTATGAAAGAGGCCAAAATTTTAAAACAACCTTAGGATGGTAGATAAAAACCAATCCCTAAATTAATAGATTAGATNATATGGTATGTTGTAGAAACTAATCGTAGGGGAAATAATTTAAATATGATATTGGTTAAGTTTAAACAATCTACATTAGTTAATATATTTGGTTAGATTTAAGTAGGTATATTCTAGGAACATTTATGAAAGAGGCCAAAATTTTAAAACAACCTTAGGATGGTAGATAAAAACCAATCCCTAAATTAATAGATTAGATATTATTTATATTTAATATTAAAATTATCAAATATTCTAAAATATTATTTATAAGCCAAATTATCTGAATATTTTATATCCAAAATATTTAATATTATATGAATTATCTAAAAGAAATCAAATTATCCAAATTTATTTATCCGAACTATTTAAGTTTATCGAACTACTTGATATTTAATATTGAAAATTAGAACCTAATCATAACCGACCTGGAACTAAAATTTTTAGCAGATATTAGCAAATTTCTAGTATTGTTACACAATCCAAACCAAAACCAATTAACCAAACCAAACCGAATTTTATAAATAACTAAGTGGTTCCTATATTTATAGAACTGAAAATTCATTGAACCGAAGCCAAACCGAACGTCATCTCTGGTCAGTGGTAACAAAAAAAAACTTCACATCAACATTCATGATTCATTGCTTGACTAAAGTGTAACTTCCTTAAGTGTATTCAAATTTATAGTGAATATACAAGATATTCTACCAAACGTTTATTCGGTCAATTTTTGAGTTGCTTTCCCAAATTTCTGTCAAAATCAGTTGAACTGGACGTGCAGAATCTTTGAACTCTTCGTTTATATATATAGCCTTCTTTTCTGTTTTTGAAAAAGTAAATATAGCCTTCTTTTGACGTTGAATATACAGAAAAAATAGATACCAGAAATATAATTTTCTCTTTAATTTTTACAATGCTATTAACACTAGCATTGACTTGTGTTTGCTTGTTTTTTGTTGGTCATGCTCATCCTCAAGAAATTTCAGTAAATGGAAATGTTTCTGCACTCTTCGCTTTTGGAGATTCCATACTCGATACCGGCAATAACAACAATCTCACCACTCTTTCCAAGTGCAATTACTTCCCGTATGGTATAAATTTTGTAGGCGGAAAAGCTACCGGAAGATTTGGAAATGGAAGAGTTTTCTCCGATCTTATTGGTATATACATAATATATATGTCAACTTTAACATCTGTTTAACAAAAAAAAAGTTAGACAATTATTTTCAATAATAGTCATGATCTTACTACTAATCAAGTTTCTAGTTTACCATATGTTATTTGATAATATAGTCTTTTTGTACAGCCGAAGGTTTGAGTTTAAAACCACTCTTACCAGCTTACCATGATCCCAACCTTTCAAACAATGATCTCCCGACCGGTGTTTGCTTTGCATCCGGTGGATCCGGACTCGATGAACGCACTGCCAAACCACAAGTAAATATGACATTTTGTTTAGAGCTTATATCTGTGTAATCAGTTTTAATTATAACTCAATTAATGTATGTATGCCTTGTGGAATGAGTGTATATAGGGAGTTATTTGGGTGCCAGATCAGGTGAAAGATTTCAAAGAGTATGTCACTAAACTAAACGGCGTTTTAGGAAACCAAGAAAAAACAAACGCAACTATAGCAAACGCCGTTTATTTAATCTCAGCTGGAAATAACGATTTTGTCTTCACCTTTTGGACTGGGAAGTCAAATTCTACAGTTTCAGCTTACAGTGATCTCTTGGTCACTTGGACTGAAAATCTTTTGAAGGTACATAATTATTATTATTTTCAGAATATAACATATTAGGATAAGGACATTAGTTAAGATAATCCTTATCTTGTAAGGAGATTGACTTCGGTTATAGTTCGTTGTTATCTACATTAGGGCTCATGATAAACTCTGTATCTCTATATAAAGAGACCTTGTGTAATCAATTCATCAAGCATTCAAGTATTCAATCTTATATGGCATCATCGCCTTGGTCACCCAGCTTTCAATGTTTTACAAAAGATTTCTTCCATGTTTTCTCCTAGTTTTTCTTGTCATAATTTACAGTATTTGCATTGTCATTCATGTTCCATTAATAAGAGTCATAAGCTGCCTTTTTATGATACTTCTATCTCTTCATCTCAACCTCTTCAAATTGTCTTTTCCGATGTATGGTCTTCACCAGTATACTCTGTCGATGGGTACAAATACTACTTACTGATTGTTGATCACTTTACTCGGTACATGTGGTTCTTTCCACTCAAGCTTAAGTCTCAGGTCGCAGCCACATTTGTTACATTCAAACAGCTCGTGGAAAATCAGTTCAATACCAGAATCAAAACACTTTATTCAGACAATGGAGGAGAATTTATTGCACTTCGCTCTTTTCTTGCGGAACAAGGAATTTCACATCTCACTACTCCACCTCATACACCGGAGCACAATGGCTTAGCAGAGCGGAGACATCGTCATATTGTGGAGACTGGTCTAGCTCTTCTTACACATGCCTCAGTTCCAACACAATACTGGACCTATGCTTTTGCTACAGCTGTATACTTAATCAACCGTATGCCGACAAAAACCCTCTCCATGGACTCGCCTTATCTACGCCTGTTTGGAACCTTACCAAATTACTCCAAGCTTCGGGTCTTTGGATGTTTATGTTACCCGTGGCTGCGACCCTATACGACCAATAAGCTTGAACCGAGATCATCTCCGTGTGTTTTCTTTGGTTATTCTCTCACTCAAAGTGCATTTCTCTGTTTTGACCCATCCTCTTCTCGTTTGTATGTTTCTCGTCATGTTCATTTTGTCGAACGACAGTTTCCTTTTGCATCTCTTCCAGCTCCTTCTCCTTCACCAATGGATAGTCAAGAGGTACCGTGGACGCCGTCAGTAGAACCAATTCTTCCTGCAAGTGGTTCTCATTTATGTTCCAACACAGTACTTTCGTCCTCCCCTGTTGATCCTTCACCACCAGCAACATCAACTTCAATTCCTGACACTGCAACCCCTACACCAGAAGCACCACCTTTACCAGTCTCAGTGCAACCGACTGAATCACAGCAACAACCGTCAACTGAAAATCGCATGGTGACCAGATCACAGAATCAGATAGTCAAACCCAACCCCAGATACTGTCTCAACACAACACTTGCACCTCACTTTGAGCCTCACACGATTCAGCAAGCCTTAGCGGATGCAGAATGGCGCAAATCTGCAAGTGCAGAGTTTGATGCTGCTTTGCGGAATCATACGTGGGACTTAGTACCACCTGAGGAAGCTACAAACATCATTGGCAATATGTGGCTCTTCCGAACTAAGTTCAACCCCGATGGATCCGTGGACAAACACAAATCACGCTTAGTTGCAAAAGGAAATCACCAACGACCAGGCATTGACTATCATGAGACTTTTAGCCCTGTCATTAAGTCTCCTACTATCCGTCTTCTACTTGGTCAAGCAGCTAAATACAATTGGCCGGTTAAAAAACTCGACGTCAACAATGCCTTCTTGCAGGGCACTCTCACAGAAACCGTCTATATGAAGCAACCTAGTGGCTTTATAGATCGAGACAAACCCAATCATGTTTGTAAACTTAACAAGGCGCTATATGGATTGAAACAGGCTCCTAGGGCGTGGTACAATGAGTTGAAGACATACCTTCTTGGTCTTGGTTTTCGGAATTCCATAGCTGATGCATCTCTGTTCTTCTTCATTCACAATGGACGCTACTTGTTTGTGCTGATATACGTGGACGATATAATTATTACTGGTAACTCTGCATCAGCAATAACTGATCTTATTGCCCACTTATCCAGACGCTTTTCTCTCAAGGATCTAGGTGACCTATCTTATTTTCTTGGCATTGAAGTTCTTCGTACAACACAAGGATTTCATTTATCTCAAAGGAAATATATTGGGGACCTCCTATACCGCACTAACATGACCAACGCCAAACCAGTTCCCACGCCGATGTGTGTGTCTTCTCCTCTCTCTGTTCGTGATGGTGAAGCACTTAGTGATCCGTCTGAGTATCGAAATGTTGTGGGAAGTCTTCAATATCTACTCTTGACACGTCCAGACATAGCCTTTGCGGTAAATAAACTTTCTCAGTTCATGCACAAACCATCAACCACACATTGGCTAGCAGCTAAAAGAGTTTTAAGATATCTTGCTGGTACATCCACGTCTGGTATCTTTCTCTCTCGTCACAGTGATTTATCTCTTCATGCCTACTCGGACGCGGATTGGGCTGGTAATAAAGATGACTACACCTCCACAGGGGCTTATGTTGTGTTTCTTGGTCAACAGCCTATATCCTGGTCAGCCAAAAAGCAGACAGGAGTTGCTCGATCCTCCACGGAGGCTGAGTATCGAGCTGTTTCAGCTGCTGCTTCTGAAGTACGTTGGCTCTATTCTTTATTAAGTGAAGTCGGAGTCAAGCTTGATAATGTTCCCACCATATACTGTGATAATATTGGTGCTACTTACCTTAGTGCCAATCCCGTGTTTCATTCAAGAATGAAGCATTTGGCTCTTGACTATCATTTCATTCGTGAGCAAGTTCAGAATCATACACTCCGGGTATCACATGTCTCTTCCAAGGATCAACTAGCTGATGGTCTTACCAAACCACTTACGCGTAACCGTTTTGGACTGCTATTCACCAAGATCGGCATCACTTCTCGTGCACCGTCTTGAGGGGGGATATTAGGATAAGGACATTAGTTAAGATAATCCTTATCTTGTAAGGAGATTGACTTCGGTTATAGTTCGTTGTTATCTACATTAGGGCTCATGATAAACTCTGTATCTCTATATAAAGAGACCATGTGTAATCAATTCATCAAGCATTCAAGTATTCAATCTTATATAACATAGTTGTTACTTTATTAATATTTGTCTTTTCTTATTTCAAGAGTCTATATGATACGGGTGCAAGAAAATTCGCAGTTCTTGGAACTGTACCAATAGGTTGCTTGCCAGGAATAAGAAAAATTGATGGAGTTATATCGAAATTATGTTCAGTCCCTGAAAATCAGTGGGCTGATACATTCAACAAAAAGTTATCTGCGATACTCAATATTCTCGAGACAAAACTTCCTGGTACCAAGTTTTTCTACGTAGACATGTATAATTCTCTTCTTGGTCTCGTTAACAATCCTCAGGCTTCAGGTATACTTTGATCATTGTAGTTTTGTTTTCAAGAATAATATGTTCTTTAGTTTTTGGTCTAGAGACTAATAAGTTATCTATTTAATTCTGAATGACTAGGGTTTACTGATGTGGCTGATGCATGTTATATGCCGTCGACATCGCCTATTCCGTGTCCGGATGCATCTCGTTACGTGTTTTGGGACTTTGCCCACCCTAGCGAGAAGGCATATCAAACGATTGCACCAAAGATAATAGAAGAACTCAAGGAGAAACTAGCATGATGTTTTTGTCATATATTAGTGCTTTGTTATATTTACAGAAAATAAAATGTTCTCATTATAAAATCCAGTGTTTGCTTCCCTTAACAGATACGAGTCATTCAACATGTCTTTTTCTTGTCAATACATTCTCGTTTTCTCTAATCGAAATTGATTACGTATTAGTCCGTATTAGCATGGCGTCTTGATTTTATTTCAGGAGGTTGCTTTTAATCTCTTTTTTGAACAATTGTTTTTTGTCTCTTTTAATGGGAAAGGAATAAAGATGTAATCAAAATCAAAAGGCGACCCCATTATACACAAACACAAGAAACATTCAACTATTTAAAGAGACACAATGTAGTGAAATAATAAAAGAATGCCATGAAAGAACACAAAAACAAGCTTTACGCTAATCCCTACGTTTCTTTATAAGTTTTTCTTTCTTGAACTATCCTTTATAAATTTTAGTGTAAAGTAATTATGTTCTATATTCAATTGATATTACTCACCAATCAACAATATCAGCGTCTGTAAAATACTAAATCTTTTTGTGTGCACCAACTAAAATAGTAAACACACTTGTTAAATATAAAGCATGTATATTTTACTTCTTCATATTTTTTGTTTTGTAAAATAGTTTTACTACTACTACACATACGTATGCAACTATAAAACCTTGAAACAGTATTGTATGTAAAATATGGAGGCGGCGTCAATGATTGGTTAAAACCCAATCCATAAGTCTTTAGTTTCTTATTCGGAAAGATGAAAATTTGTACGAAATCCCACTTTATCTTCTCACAAAGAAAACATATTTGTTCCAAAGTGCAACTCTCTCCTTGCACTTACACATCACAAAGAATCTCTTTAGTTGTCTCTCTTTTATGAAAAGAAAAGAAAGAAAAACAACAAAGAAGGTTCTCTCAGTTTAAATCTTTGGTTACAGACCCATTAGTCTTATTCCTTTCATTACTTGACACTTTTCTGTGATACATATTAATTAGTAGTATTCTTTAAAACCACAAAATAATTATATTAATTCATTACCCCTAATCTCACATGGAATGAAGCATATTCAGATTACTTGTTCATCAAGTACCTTCTCAATAACCCTCCTTGATCTCTACTCAAAGAACCCAAATAAACTTCCCCAACATCTGACAACTTCAAGATCTTCTTATATCATTTCTTGATTTATATCTAAGAACCCAAACATAAACCAAAACCTAGGAGGGAAAATGGGAGACCAAGGAGTACAACAAATGCAACAGCAGCCTGTTGTTGTGTATCCAAACGCATACCCGAAGCAGTATCCTCCATATCCATCTTCTTCTTCTGCATCATCTTCTTCTTCCTCCTCTGGCTCACGTGGTTCCTTTGGGACGGTTTTCATAGTCCTAGCCGTGATCCTTGTCTTGTCGGTTCTGGCTTGTGTCTTTGGGAGGCTATGCAACCGTGAAGGCCACGCTTCTAAGCAGCCAAAGCATGAGAAAGGATCGTCGAAGAAGAGCCGTGAGATTCGGCCTGTGGACCGTGAGCCTAGGGAGAGAGGTGATTTGGAGTTTGGGTTGGATTTGAAACGACCTGAGCCAATTGAGAAACCCTCGGGGAGAGATCATGGAGAGGATATAGAATTCGGGTTTGATAACAAGAGAGAAGAAAGAGGTGGAGGAGGACCACCTCCTCCTCCGGTTATCAAACATGGCGTGAGATTTAAGTTACCGGAAAACGGAGACCAACATGCTGAAGGCGAAATAAGACGTGGAGGTCCCGAAATTGAGTTCCGATCAAGACAATAATGATAGTGAGTTGTCCGAGAACAGACCACTTTCTTTATTCTGATCGTGTCTTAACTGCTTTCTTTCTTTTGTGCTTTTCTCTTTTCTTCTTTGATCGATCTTATGGGTATGGAACTTAGAGCTGAAGCTATCAAACTTCTTAATCTCTTGGTGTGATATATACAGTAGATAATCTGTATATATCTAAGGAACTGAATAAATCCAGCAAACATATGTATAACTTCTCTGTATTTATTCACTAAGAATCAACAAATTTATGGAATAACGTTTTTATGGGAATACATTAGGAGTTCTAACTTTCCGAGGGCATTAGCTATCAGAAAACAAAAATGGGCTTCTTTCATTAGGGACATTACTAAAGCCCATTATTAATTAAGCCCGCATCGTTCCTTCTTCAAATTGATTTCTCCAGTTTTAGTAACAGCTTCTGTTTGCTACCCTACCCATATTACTGATGGATTTCTTGTTTTGATGTGCAACGATATTAGTTTTGCTGAAATTAACACAATTTAGCGATCAAATTCTATTTTTAATGGATTTGAGTGACATACTTCGGCGGTTAAGCAAATACAAATATCTTCAAACGTCGGTTTATATTATTTAAATAATATTTTGCGCAAAATAGATCGTTGAACCGACTAACTAAATTCATTATTTTCAACGTTGTAATTGGCGTGAGTCATTAACTTGTCCATATTGTTCATCTTTATAACGCCAGCGTTCGTTACTTTTTTTAATTAAACTTGTTCTATTCACACAATCACACCATTTTGTTTTTTTTAAACAATGTTTTCACTTTTCAGTATTATTTCAATAATAGTGCTAAAATATTCACATTCGAGATCTTTTCTCTAAACAAATAAGTAAAACCAAACCTTAGCCAACTGAGCAAGGCATTGCTTTAAAAGGCAAAACCTAACCACTTTTAGCCGAATTTATTATATGGCTACTATATATCAATCTGATACCTCCATAAGAAAACGCCATCAAATTTATTGCTTCTGTTAGAATATTCTTGGAAAACCTTATCATGAAACTCAAACACAAATTGTAATTCTAGTAGTTCGAATTGAAAATGTAACTAAAGAATAAAAACCTAACTTTTACCCACAAAATATCTCCTTAGATGAGAGAACAAGATGATATTAAACAATAGTCGCGTAGGGGGGACATAATAGTAACAGCGCCATTATTCCAACGTGGTAAAGTTACGAAATAGGGGTAAAAACGTCATTGTAATGTGATCGAGAGAGAGAGAGATGTCTTGTGGCGCAAGCTAAAACGTAACTAACGGCACCGCTTTTTAACCAACCGTTTATAACGTTGGAGAGAGAAAGAGAGAGACAACGAAGACGACTCTGCTTTTCTCTCTCACATTTTCCCAAGAAAACTTCTCTCTCTCTCTCACATTTTCTCGCACTTTCTCACCACTTGATAATGGCGGCACAAATCGATTTCGAACTTGACAACGGTGAAATCCTCGATCCCCTCTCCGACCATATTTCCTCCTCCTCCTCATCCTCATCCTCATCCTCCACCATTCTTCTCCACGAAGGAAGCCAAGAGCACGACGTCATCACCACCTGTTTCCTCTCCGGCTTAGGCAACACCAACACCACGATCGTCACTATCCGCAAGAAATCTCCTCACACGTTCACCACAAAAGCCAACCACCTCGCCTTCCGCATCTTCACAGAAGCCATAGCGCGAAAAAACAACGCAGATCCCAACGTTAAATACGCTTGGTACTGTAACCGCCGCTCCTCCTCCTCTAAAGAAGATCTCGAACGTATCATCACATACGGATTCAGCAGCCACGACGAGACCAAAGATTCTTCTTCTTCGTCTCATGGAATAGGAATCCATCTCTTTCCTTCTAACCTCTCCCTCTCCGCGTAAACTCCAAACTTCTCCTCCGTTACGGTTGTTATGATGATTATGGTACTAATTAATAACAGTGTAATGTTTTTTTTTTTGTTTTTTTTTTGTAGAGTGGAAGCAACGGAGGAAGATGGAGAAGGTTTAAGACGTCTTCTGTTATGTCGTGTGATTCTTGGGAAGTCTGAGGAGATTATCTCCGGGTCTAAACAAGCCTATCCGAGTTCGGTTGAGTTTGATTCTGGTGTGGATGATGTTCAGAATCCGAGAAAGTATGTTATATGGAGCTCTACTATGAACTCGTTCATCTTGCCTACTTATATCGTTACTTTCAAATCTCCTCGTCTCACAGGTATATTAATTATAACAATGTCTGATTAAATTGTATTTTTGTTTCATTACTTGCTAATTTTTGTATGTTTGTTTTTTGCAGTTGTGAGTAGAGGTGGTTTTTTGGATAGACCGAGAGTTGGTTTTGCTTCCCTGATGTCAATGCTGGCAAAGTCGATGGATGGTGCGAGAATGAACTTGATTATGAGAACGTACGATGATTTTAGGGTATGTTCTGCTTTGTTAATTAACTTGGTTTTAGGGTGTGTTTATGCTTTGAATTTAATGTGGGGTTTTGTTGCAGAAACGGAAGATTCAGAGAGATCAATTGATTAGGAAGATGAGAGAAGTGGCTGGAGACAACCTTTTGGCTCAGATTATCAAAAACAATTTCAGGGTTTGAGAAGGGTAAGCAAAGTCTTTGTTTAGCTTTTTGGTTGGTAATCAACGAATGAATGCTTTTCTCATCTAATCAAAGTAATGGAAAGTGAAATGTTTTAAGATGTCATGTTCTTATTCTTTCTTATCGACCAAGGCTTGCCAATTTTTTTTATTTAATGAAAAAGGGATATTTTCATGTCAATCTCCACATCAGCTTATATGCCTTTTGATCGTTTGTTGTTTCAACTCACGTAAAGTTTGTGACCATTCATTTATAAAATGTTATTGACCCTCTTTTTTTCTTCTCTTCTTTGCAGAGAAAGGCTCTCACGTGTGACGCGTAATAGGATGGGATAGAAGAACACACACGTTATATACACTTGCATAGAAAAGCTCAATCAATTGCGGAAACTATGTGAAGAGTTTTAAAGGTTTTCTTTTTTCTCCTTTATGTTAGCTGTAGAGGATCATCCCTTTATGATATGAACTTTGGGAAATTTGTAAAGAGCATTCTTTCACATATCAATGAAGTTTTCCAAATTTCCAGATTAATCAACGAATTAGTAATTGTTAATACAGCCGTTATTTTAGACATTTGAAATTTCAAATCCGCCTAAAAATGTTTAAAGTCCCTTTATAAATATCCATGTATCCTTATTTACACCAATGTAAATGAATAACACACACAACAACAACGAATGTCTTTTTCAGACCATGTTGATTGTTTTTTAAAGTTTTGCATGGATAGACAACATGGTCATACGAGTCATGACGAGCAAACTTACCGAAGTGTTCGTAAAAAATCAATTCAATGTATTTGTATATATTTGCTTCAAGCCGAGACACAATACACGGAAACAGATTCTAACTAAGAAACTCTAAGATGGATTATGAGAGCTACATAAGCTTTAAGATAAGTAAAGTCCTAAAGTAAACTCGAATCGTTCCTTTAAGGGATATAATAACGTATATGCATAGGTTGTCTTACATACAACTTACAACTTAGGCTAGTATGTTTGTTGCTTGATGTCTTTACCCGTGAGAAATCACGAAATCTCCCGGAAGGTAGCAGTCGAAAGTTGAAGCATCTGGAGCAGAGTTGTTGTGGTCCTGATGGTGATCCTATTAATGTACCATGAAAACGGTGGAAGATTAAACGGAGGAGAGGGTTGAAAGTATTGGTCCATTATCACTTTCGATGCAATTTTTCCTTGTCCACCACTACATTTTTTGTATTCTTCTCGGGTTTTCGGCAACCTATGCTTGCACAAGCGTTCTGAATCTACGAATATCGGCTCCACTTTATAGCTACCCTCAAACACTTTCATGAACATCATTTTCTCCTTTTTATATTTTGACTGCATGCCCACAACAAGCAAGTTATATATGTTTCTCAAACACAAACCAAACTTATTGATACAGTTTCTTACCGTAAGATCTTTAATGTTTTCATCGACAATAAGCTTTATGGGGAAAGCTCCAGACCACCACAAGAGGTCGAACGCCACAGTGTTCTCTGTCTCTAAAATCTGTCTTGGACCATCCTTCTTCAAAACCTTTCTTGATTTGTTTTTCTTTATAATTAAAAAAATATATATATCACTCTGAAGTATATATTACTACTAAATAGTATCAATTGAATCATACAAATATAAGAAAAAAACCAGAAGTTGGCGGGCAGACATGTCTATTGCCAAGGAAATTGGTTTACTCAAATTTTCAAAGGCTGCTAAAGGGGTCACTCCCATTGTGAATTCTATATTCATATGGCAAATACCCCTTTTCGTTGTCACCTTCAAACATTAAAAAAAAAAAAGAGAAACATTTGAGATCCAAGAAAAGAAAAATTACAACGCTTCCTCGAAGGCCCAAAGTGGTAATGCAGATACTTTGTTTGCTGATTTTACCTTCACCTTAGGAGGAGGATCATACCATGGATGCTTTCTCTCTGCAGTGTTCCATAGTTTCATTTGCTTATCTTCCTCCTTTGAATCGTGATATTTGAAAAGTTCCTCAGTATTACTCTCTTTTGCTGACTCAGACTTAGATTTATCATCCTCAGATCTCTTGGACCCGGCCTAGTTATAATAAATATTATCATTAACTAACCACTTTCTACATTTGAGCAATGGTAGTTATACTGATTTGACTTCCCTTGGGAGCTCTAATGGAAATGAATCTGACCTTATGAGGCTGTTGAGTGTTCTGATTCATCCAAACACCAAATCCTGGAAATCCACCCATTTCTCTATAAAAAAATTAGTACAGAAACGATAGTAACAAGATAAATAATTTTTTTATACATATACTATGGTTTGGAGATCTTTGATATAATGGATGCATCTATCGAGAATGGTATACGTTTGATGTTACGTAGGGAGATAAATGAAGTGAGCTCAACTTCCGTGAGTTATTGACGTGTAGGAGAGATCTACATTCGGAAAAGAAAGATCTTCCCCATCTGGTTTCTTCAAAGTTACAAGTAGAAAGATGACATTTTACGTTTCCTTTGTAAAATTATGAGAGCCTACTAATTATATATCTATGTCAATTTAAAAAATATCCAAACCGTAAAATTAGTGTGATTCCAGTGATCTACTATCTATCATAGAATTATTGTGTCAGATGGCACCAAATAATAATTCTTGTGTAGAACAATAAGAAAATATAAACACTAGAATTTCGTGTCAAAAAACTAGTTGGCGTTAGAATAGCATAAGCAAGCGTAAGCACTTTTGAATAAAGTATAAACACTAGTTGACCGTTTATTATGAATATACATTTACCTTTTATTCTCTTCATCTTTTCATTAAAGTATATGATAAAAATGGCACTTTTGTTCTATTCATATTATATAACTTTCCCCATATTCAGATTCTTTGTATGATAAAAGTAATAATTTTATAATATATTATCAGGCGTTTTAATATTTGTGTATTTAAATGATTTTACTGATAGAATCCTGATGAATAAAAACTTTGATTCTATTAGTTTATATTTCACCACAGTAATAAACGCTTCAAGCGTGCTCTGAACCTTTTGTTTGGTAAAAAAATTAAATCCTAATACGTTTGCTCATAATGATTACATATTCTCTAAGATCTTGGAGCAAAGACTTGGTGACTTTGACGGCAATACCACGGATGACCCAAGAAACCGGTGGCACATTAAGAAGAGGAGAGGGTTGAAATATATGCTCCATTGTCACCTGTGACCCAATCCTTCCTTTACCACCGCTACATTTTTTGTACTCTTCTTCACTGATCCGCGACCTAGACTTGCACAACCGTTCCTGATCAACGTACAGTGGCTCCACTTTCCAGCTACCCTCAAACACTTTCATGTACTTTACTTTCACTTTCTTATATGTTGCCTAAGCAAGAACACAAATTATACTTCACCCAAAAATGAACTAAAACAAATTGGTTCCTTTGAGGAATATAGAGAAGCTTTCTTACTGTAACTTTTTGATGGTTTTCATCGATGATTATATGTATTGGGATTGTCTCATTATACCCAAGTATCTTCCATCTCAAAACTTTTTCCACTTCCGTGACCTGCCTTGGTCCATCCTTCTTTAAAACCGTTGTTGCTATCGTATCCTTGAAATGAAATAAGAAGACGACACTCTCAATTATTTATAATAATCTCCTATATATTAATTGAGAAACATTACGACATGTTTTAGTAGGTATGTGCCATTATAAGAATGTTTCTCAAATTTACTAGAGAAAAATGTTGATCTATATAAACATATAATCTATTTTTTATTAAACTAAGCATAAAACTATTATTAATACTAATCATTATTTCCTTAAATAAAATTAACGTAATTACCTAATATGGTTATAATATATATATGAAAATTAATGATTTGAATATGAAAAATTTGATAAAAAATAGTATAGCCTCTACTCTTTTTGTTAAATTTATATTGTGAAAATAAATTAAATAATAACATTAACTATATAACAAAAAATTAGATTTTTTTATATATGTTATACTTTGAATTTTTAAAAACGACTATAAATTAATAAAAAGTTTAAAAATTTCACATATAATATTTCTGATTAATAGTTTAATTTTTTGTAATAGCACGATACAAAAAAATATATAAATAATTAGTAAGAAATATCATTTAATAGATATTTAAATTAGATGTATATATATAAGTGAAGTTTAAATTAAACTAAATACCATTAAAAATATATAAATATTTAATTTCAAAATTGCATTGAGTAAGTATTGAGAATTTAATTTGTTTTAAACGATGATATATTACTGTAAATATTAAATATTTCACATTAAAAATGATGCTATCAATATTTTAAATTTTTTACTATAAAAATATACAAATGATCATAAAACCATGTAAGTATAAAGCTTCATTTATTAGATATCTAAATTAAAAGTATATATATATATATGTTAATATCATTTATTAATTAGATTTACTTATATAAAGTGATTGTAAAAAAAAAAAATATGATTATTTTATTTAAATGCTTACTAAATTAATTGTATATATAATAGTTACAGATTTTTCATAATTTAATATATATATTTATTATTATATAATATATAAAAGAATACAGAATAAAAAACAAGACATAAAATAATTTATATATATAATTCTTTTTCTGCGCAAATGTGCGGGAATTAAGCTAGTTGATAGTTAAATTCGAATCATACAACTATAGTGAATAAAACAAACCAAACGTGTGCGCCAGGTGGTGCCCATTGCATGGAAATAGCCCACGTTTCTTGGATCAGTGAACATCTCGAAGACTGCTTGAGGAGGCCTTCCCAATGTGAAATCTATGTTTAAATGGCAAAGGCCCTTTTTTGTTTTCACCTTCATAAAAATATGTAAAGACGTTTTTAAGATTATTTTTCCTAAATTCAAGCATTTCCTATAAAAACAAACAAAAATATACATCAAAGAGTGTTGAGGTTATGTTTGATTCTTGCTAATACCTTCACCTTAGCAGTTTCACCGTACCAGGGATGTTTTTTATTTTCAGACATCCAAAGTCTCATTTGCCTCACCACTTCATCCAAGTCGTAGTACTTAGGATCGGTAGAAAAGAGTGGCATAGATTTAACATGGTCTCTCTTCATGGATTCAGCCTACAAGAAAAAAAACAAGAAGGATCGTTATCTCATTTACATAATTAACCATCAATAAAAGTATTTGATATTGATTGCAGATTTGCTATTACCTTCTCTTTAGGGCTTAGAGCAGGATCCCAATACCATGGTCCCTGAATATACCTATCTTCTTCTGAATCTGAACTAGATTTACCCTTCTCAGATCTCTTGGTCGAGGCCTACAACAGCAAACATAATCATGATCTCATCTATTGAATAACCGATATAGTAGACAGGGTCCTTTGATTGGTGGAAATGAACTAACCTTTTGGGGTTGTTGAATATTCTGATTGATCCAGGCACCAAATCCAGGGAATATACGCATTTCTATTCCAAAGTTAGTCTACAAAAACTAATGCTTATCTAATGAGGGCAAGAGTAAATGAAGATCTAA